CGACTAGATTTTTTTGGCCGCATTTCGAAAACCCTATCCTATTTTGTACCCTGTACTGTACAGATGTATGGCAGGAAATCTGAACCCGATTTTCCGAGTTGAATCATCTGTACCTGGATGAGCTTGGATTCTTTCGTAGTTATTGATATTTCTTTTTAAAGTAGATTTGCTTGGCCTTTGCTATCATATTAGATGTGCTGTGCTACCACAAGAAAGACAGCAAAAACAACCACCACAAAATTTCTCCACGGAGAATCACCGCACCAAAACACAAATCAGAATTTTATACCTTAATATTTTTTATAATTAAAACTTAATATCACCGCTGTTCTAAGCTTTATTATATATCGGGAAAAACATATTAACCAAGTTGAAAAGATAATAAAAAAGTTTTAAACTAGGTAAAAGAAAATAAAAAATCAACTGAAAAAATACAATAAATAAATCTCATACAATAAACTTTCGAGGTCTGAAATTATCTGGCAAAATTTCAATCCATTCAATAAAAAATTATATTTATTAACATAAAACCACGTGTTAGACATCTTTATAATTAACATAAAACTGCCAAATTCCGATTCAATTAAAAATTATATTTGTGATCATAAAACTGGAACACATTAACTCATAAGATGAGAGTTTCTGGTTAGTACTTGCACAGATGAGAGGGATGGTTAATGCCTGTTACCTCCATACAACTTGCAAAGAGATGGAAAAGAAAACCCTTGTCGATAATACCTCAAATGATAGAATTATCATACATGGGCCAGATGACTGAAACTCTTTCGATTCTCAGGGTGTTGTGAGCAGAAAACGTGAGAATTGCAACAACAATTAGTCAATAAGATTCAAAACCAACATCCATCTGCTTAAAACATTAGTGTATTGATTCAAAATCGAAAATTCAAGCTCAAGGCACCAAACGGAGCTTCCTATCATTTTAAGCCTCCCTACGAACAAGGTAAAGCTTGCCCACAACATGGAGAATAGCAACAAAAGCAATGAAACCAATGCTCATAACAAGAACAACATTTGGAGATATCTTAAGTCCAGGCGCATCATCAGTATAAAACTGAAGCATAGTCCCCGCTGCTCCTGCTCCTCCTGAAGCTCCACCACTGACTGTCCTCCTCCTACGCATGCTTGCAGCTGCTGCTGCACTTCCTCTTGGGGGAGCAGTTCCGCCTACAGCCATTTCTATAAATAAAAACAAATCAGCTAGTTCAGTCCCCATTACATGTTAATTGGCCATATCTTCAAATGTAGAGCTCACAAAAAAATATAACAAATCCCCCACTATCGGTTTCAACAAACAAACAAACAAACCCTTGTGATTGCGAAATTGCTTACGAAATAAAACATGTTTAAATCTTAATAATCAAAATAAAAAAATAGATCCAACCATGAGGCAGATCTATATGAAGATACTAATAATTAGCATAATACCTAGTTTTTTTTTCTTAAAGAGAATTCAGGGGCAAATCTCAGCAATCTGATGCAAAAAAGAAAAACAAAACAAAAAAACAGATCTAAGGATTTTCAAAAATAAAATCGATCCAGAAATTCATTAATAAAAAGAAATCAAATGGAAATCGAGATGAAGCATTCACCTTAATTGATTCGAAGACGAAATAGAGAGATTTTGATGGACTAGAATTTCGATTTCTTCTCCTCTTTCGTTTTTGCGGTGTCAAAATCCACTCTCTTAGAAACGGGGCTGTTCGTATGCGCGCTTATATGCTTTCCACGCTTTTATATCTAATAGTGTTTAGCCACGTCATATTTCAAACCAATTAGACGTCAAATACGCCTGCCTAATACTTGGGCTTGTTTTGGTTCACTGGTTGGACCTAAGAAACTAGCTTGGGTAAACTTCAAATCTCTAAATCGGATCTTATGTTCAGAAATTAGAATCTTCCAGTGATTTTGATATTTAGACTAAAATATAAGAAATTTAGACAGAAAATATTTAAACGGATTCGATTCAATTTCAATGAAAACATTTGCACTCCATATTTTTGAAAAATGTTCTTTGTATTGAAAAGATAAAAGCACAATGATATATTCTAAACTAGCCTTGCTTGTTGTGCTTTATCGGAAGCCAAATTATTTTTTTATGTAAAAAATAATGATTTGATGTTGAATGGGGTAAAAAAAAAATGATAAACCAATGTTATTGACATGCTTTTAACCATGCTCATGCTAATTAAGCAAATGTTATTGACATGCTTTTAACCATGCTAATTAGGGTTAAGCAAACTCAGGATATCAAGTTAAATTTACAATTCAGATGATACTATTTTATTATCAAGTTAAATTTATAATTCAGATGATACTATTTTATTATTCAGTGAATAATATAAATGTCTTGGCAACTAAAGTGTGTTTTGCAAATATCAATTAGTTGTTTTTAATAACATTGATAAAAATTGAGAATGATGTATTTCAAACATATTTGTATTTATTTTTGTCTAATAATTTTTCTAAGATACTATTGATAGGGGGTCGTGGATGGACTTGTAGAGGAATGTCTTGCAGCTTGGAATCTAATTGGGAAAATTGATAGTTCAGGTAATAAATTGAGAAGGATAGATATTTAGCAGTCTAATACCGAGGTCTGCTATATATATTCTTTTCCTTTTATCTCTCTTCTACTTCACGTTGCAAGATGAGCGCCGGCCGCAAGTAAGGTTCTAGTCTAGCGGTGGGAGGGGCTTGTCCCCTTCCTCCGTACTTGGGTTCGAGTCGGTGGGAGGGGCTTGTCCCCTTCCTCCACACCTGGGTTCGAGTTTTACCATGCATGCCTGTCACCCCCACGGTGCCTTACCTGTTCATTGGGCTTGCAGGATGTTCAGTGGGCCATGTGGATTAGTCGTGGTGCGCGTAAGCTGACCCGGACACCCCACGTAAATAAAAAAAAAGAAAAAAAGATGAGCACCGCCCACGTAAATCAAAAAAAAGAAAAAAGATGAGCGCTGGCCAATGGTCCCAGAATACAAAAGACCACCTGTGAATTCACAATCACAACCGTTAATCGCACACAATTTAATAATCCTCAATGTTCTGGTTGATGAGCCAATATTTTATTAATATATATTTACATACTTTTATTAAAAAGCATTAAATAAAAAAGATATATAAATATAGTTTTCTTAAATTTATGGGTGTAGTTAGTTGAATCTAGTGTTAGCTAGACCCAGTTATGATTGGGTTTAACATTGCGCCAGACTCATACATGTTAGATTTGACGCTGGTCAAACCCAGTAAATAATTAGATCTAGCATTGCCAAACCCCTCTATTACAAGACCTGGTAGTGTGCTGGACCCAGACACGATGGTCTAACGCCGGCCAATCCCAAGAGATAGTTAATTTTAACACTATCAATTCTATAGATTTTTACATAAAATTATAGATGAGTAATTTGTCAATAATAAGCTTAATTAAACAAGTTTATACTCTACTAATATCATTAGATGTATTAAAGTCTATCATAGTCTGTTATATCTTTAATTTTTTAGTAGTATAAAATGAGTAAAATATAACTAAAAATTCAACTTAACATATCATAAAGGTAAAATTATGCCCAATCCTTTTTCTTCATGAAAAATCAAAACTCATGAGTTATAAATATATCATGAATCCTTTAAGATAAAAGTTCACAATCTTTATTCTTTACAACATACATATTTGAGAGCATTTTTCTTTAAAATATTATTATAATTTATTTTTTAAAACAAGATACTTACTTAAGTAAATAAAAATCCATATATTCATCAAAATAAATTTTTTTATGAATATTAACCCTAAAGTATCTTAATTTATCAAATATAAACTATCAATCACCTATAACAAAAAGAATAGGCAAGTTAACAACCATCTAGGTGGTGGCCAAGTGGTAAAGACTTGGGACTAAGGGATTTGCTCTCTCTGTAGTCTCAGGTTCAAGTCCTTAGTTACTCATATGATGGCCACTGAAGACTTATATGGTCCTTAACTTCAAGGCCCGTGGGATTAGTCGTGGTGCGTGCAAGCTGGCTCGGACACCCATGTTAATCTAAAAAAAAAAAAAATAGGTAAGGTTTTTAGAACCAATTGATTAACTAATTATTTAATTATTTAATATTTATTAAAATAAAAATTTTACAAAAACTATCTTAACTTACTAATTACAAGCTATCAACCACGCATATAACAAAAAGGATAGACAAGATTTTTAGAATAATTAATTAATTAATTAATTGTCTAACTACTTATATTACTCGAATTTTTTGGACTTGTGAACATATACCAATTCAAGCCATTGATTTGAATCTAAATTGTTACTAGGTAGTTGAGTAATTTTGCGTGTGGATAATTATTTTACTTTGAAAAGAAATTATGAGCATTGAACCAAACAGCAATTCCATTACTAAAGAAGAAGAAGAAGAGAGAAGATAATCCCATCCCAGTAATCAAACGACCCAAGATCAATGATATAACGTCTTCTCATGCTTACCTTTTGCCCCCCACCTGATCACTTTCTTCAATGTTTCAGCATCCATGTTTCATACGGTATACACTGCCATTTGATCTCTTTTGCTCCCATATTGCTGCCTGAACAACATCCCTCCCTTCATTCAGCCTGTAATTTTACTTCTCACTGCATCCTGGTCCTCTGCAGACAAGCGAAAAATAATTTGATCGTCGCTGCAGGCCTGAAACTTCTGCAAGTTTTTGTGAGGATAGGGAAGACATCCAACGGATACCTCTTGTCAATGCTTTTAATTATGTTGGTCATTTTTGCAAGATTAAGAAAGCAAAGAAATCCTCAGCAAAGTCGTGAATCATGCATAGTTCTCAAAACATACGAGATCCACAAAAACAAAGGATGAATCAATCTAGTGATTGTTGTTGTATTAGCGTGTGTATCAGGGCTAAAATGTGATATTACATGTGGTGATCAACTTCCTGAGGAAGGTGAAGTATCCACAATATGAAACCACTGTTGCGCTTTTTCTAATTCTAACAACTCAGCTAACTATTCACTAGCTGAATTAGAATATCTAACCTATTTGAATGTTGGAGAAAACTTCCCCAGTTACAAGCTAACAAAAGATATTCAACTTGACATACATTTCAATCCCATAAATCAAAGAAGGTGATAGGACATTGACATAAGCTCCCTTTAGCAGGCTCTTTATGAAGTTCACCAGCAATCCCTCCTCTGTTACCTCTACGCTAAATCATCTAAATTAGATATGATAGTGATTACTGTCTATGGACTGCATGCTTAGTGCCAAAATAGTTTGCAGCTGCCAAGAAAATCATTTTGTTCTCCATATTGAAGCCAAGATTCCTAGAGCATCAAATGGTCTGCTCAAACTTTCAATCCCTTGAAAAATCTGCCACCCTTATTTCCCACTCCAGTCCCTGCAAGACCTGATGACAGGAGAGATCTGGAATCTGGTCGCCATTTCAACTCTTTCAGAACAGAAAACAGAGTAGCAAGATCAGGAGTTATTTCACTGTCCTTTATATTGTTACTGGAAATTACTATTAATCTTTGAAGTTCCTTCCAATTCAGAATAACTGACTCCAAACCCCCTGTCGTCAGCAGAGAGCATCCCTCCAAAGACAAAAGCCTTACCCTCCTATAAAGAAAGGAAACAAAATGGCCCATCAAAAGATTGGTTGAAAGCACTGCATTAAGTAACATGCCAAATTTCAAATTGTTTCCATCCTTGACATTTTATAAAAATAATTGTTATGGGAATAGGTAATGAACCACGGTATCGAATCATGTGAGCTTGCTTGCTCATTCTTATACTAAATTTGGCAAACAAAGCATAACTACCCAAAAATCCAGGCTATTATAATCTACATCAGTCAATTTTCCTGCAAATTTAAATAGGCTTTAATCCACAGTTCCAAATGAAGAAAGGTACCGAGTTATGAGATTGGAAAGGATGAACTTGATCATACATGATGAAATAAAAGCTATTCGTCGATATCATGCATGACATACACATTGAAATTTCGTGGTTTAAGTTCACATTTTGGAGACAAAATTTAAGTCGTCTACCAACTCTTATTAAAATCATAGGCATAGTTCGAAACTAATACAAAATCGAGACAATAGCAAAAACCAGAATGACAAAAACTCATACCTACAAACGCTTGCAGCTGCAAACACTTCATCTTCCAATCGCCAACAGTTCTGCAAAACAATTTCCCTAACAGTCTTGCAAACCAAAAATAAAGCCTTCACTGCTTGTTTATCCCTCATCTGACACCGTTGGACATGCAACTCTTCAAGTGTAGGACAAGACCCCAAATGTTCAAGCAGACCAGGACTTGAATCAACACTCTTACATGATTGCAACCTCAAAGTCTTCAGATTTTCACAAAATGATAATGCAGCCAACCACCCACCATCCATTCTATGATCACAAATAGTCAATTCTTCAAGCATTTGACAACACTGCCCAATTGCCTTAATCCCATCATAGCTCCCTTCGCATCCACATAACTCAAGCTTTACTAACCTCCTACAACCTTGAGCTAAAATCGTCAATCCAATATCACTCACCACCGAATTATAAAAACCATCAACGCAACCAATCAATTTCAAAACTTGCAAATTCCTACACCCGGAAATCCCCTTCAAAGACATATCCCCGCAACAATGCAACTCCAATTCTTGCAAAATTTCACACTTGCTCGAGATACTCAACAACCCGTTTTCGCTCGTGCCAAATACAACAATTCTCCTCAAATTGGGATACGATTTACTAATCAATTGAACCCCATTATCAATCAAATCCGACGACAATAAATCATTCTCTTCAATAAACCCATCAGACAACAACTTAGTACCAACATAAACAGAAAAATTATTCCTAGTGATCAAAATCCCGGAATTCCTAGGCATTTTAATACAAGCATGAACAATATCAATGCTTTCCAAATTTGGGAACCGGGTAAAAACCCGACCCGAATTAACAAAACCAAAATCCATAACCTTTATTGAATGCACCAAACGTCCATGAAGGAAGAACCATCTTTTGCAAACAAGAGAGTTAGAAACATACTGTGAAATCGGGACTTTATTGAAGACTTGAAGGAGGAGCTCATCAGAGAGAAGGGAAGTGTAATCAGGTCGGTTCGGGTCATTCGATGGGAGACCAAAGATTTTATCTGGGTCAGATGGGGGTGATACTAGCGGGCTATTTGAGAGAGATTTCATTTTCAAAGTTACATGCTTTAGTGCTTGTTCTTTGAACCACAACTCCGGGAAGCTTAAGGTTCTTGTTTTGCTGTTTAAGGATGTTGGTGTTGGGTTTGGTATTAGTGGTGGCTTTTGATTGTTATTAGGGTTAGGGTTTGTTGTTTTATCCTCTGGTGATTGTGACATTTTTTCTTCTGGGGTAAAAATATCTTCTTTTCTCTCTGTAATTAGAGGGTTTCTTGCTTTTAATTCGTCACTCTCCCTTCGATTCTTTCAAGAGAGAACATTAATCTTGTTTGGATTTGTTGGATTGTGTGGGGGTGTCTTCTTTTTTTCCCTCCATTCATTTGGTCATGATTTCACAAGGTTGGTTGTGATTCAGCAGGCAGATGTCCATGTCTCGCTGTACCCTTTTGGTTGGATCATGTTTGTGTAATGGGCCCTCTTGATGCTATGCTGTAATATTGTTGGATTGATGCAGATGAATAATAAGTGCTTTGAATTTTTTTTCTTGCAGCATAATAATTGCGAGCATTTAAAATCTGTCCCATTTGAGATGTGTAGTAAATGTTTGTGTAGGTAAGTATTTGGCTTCCACTTGGAAGGCCCTCACGGAAGATAGAAAACCTCCTCCATAGGGCATGAATGTATAACAGCGCGAATTTCTAATTGATTTTCACCCTGAGGGAAGCATGCATGGAATTTCTTTAACCATGAAATATTTTAATATAAATCGATGTGCGTTTAATGATATAAAATAAAAATAATAATTATTAACGTTGATAGAATATTAAAGTAGAAAGAAAAGAAATATATCTATATATTTATTTATTTAATAACGTAAAACATCGTGTTCTTCATAAATTTTAATTTATTTAATTATATGAAAATCAAGATGGATTTTCATCACAAATGTAATAATTTAAATTACGTAAAAAAATTAAATGTTAGTATAACTTTTTTTTTCTTAATGTAATTTTTAAGCCAGACTTGTATATTTCTTTAGCCATGTTGTTAATTGAATAGAAATTGTAAATAATTAAAAACAATGCCCAAAAGAATTCAAATGATTTGAAATAAGGATAAAAAAATATCTATTTATCAAAACCTCTTTTCCTTATTAATTCATTCTTTTATCATATAATTTTTTTTATCAAAAGTTTTGTTTTTTAAACGAAAACTTATCATAATCTTAAAAAATAAGTTTTGATAAAAAAAATAAAAAAACCTTTGATGATTTTGATACAAATATATTAAAAAATATATCTATAATAAACTTGAGGAAATTATATAAAGAACTTAGATATTCATTCATATCTAGAACATAATTAAGATAATATTACCCTGAAAAAAGATGATACTATTTAAAAACAATAACATAATTAAGCAATCATTTAAACATCATTTAACTAATTTTATTTAAAAATAATCCAATTATAAAATACTAAATTGAGAAAAAGAAAGATAAAAGAATTGAAGAGCCAGGCGTGTATGAGTTGGATATGTATGTTTGGCCTACATGTAAACCCAAGTCTACACACCCTTTTCTTTTCTTAAAGAGAGGGTACCTTTTCATATATTATCTGAAGTGATTTTCTTCTTTTTTTTAAATTTTTTTATATATATAACATGTCATCCATATTGGCACACAATGAGCCATCCATATGTCATCTTTTTTGGTCATTAAAGGTGGCTTTGGTGATAGAAAAATCAAGATCTAGATTTTTGTATTCTAAAAACCCATATTCCAAACCATTTTTCACCAAAAAAAACTAAAATAAACCCATGAACCTCTTTTGTAGTGTTTCTAACAACAAAACATATTCTAACCACCCCAAATACTCAGAGTAAAAAAAGAAGAAGTTCCTATCTAGTTTTCTTTAGCATATATAAAGGTGAAAATAACCTTCAATGAATTTTTTTTTTTCAAAAACAAACTTATATACATCCCAATCAAAGTATTTCTCTTAAAAAATCTCACACATGTGGGTCTATAATAACCCGTTCACTAGGACAAGTTGAAGAAAAATAAAGAATCAAATAAAAAAAAAATCTACCTTATTAGTCTTGGTTAACCCATCTAAATCATGATTTAGATTAAAGATTTAATAGGATTAATTTTTTTTAATTTTATTATATATTTAATTTTATTATATAATAAAAAATATAAAAATTAATTTACTATAAACCCATTATCAAGAGATAAAATTCAATAAATTATAAATGATAGGATTTTTAAAAAAAAAATTAGATTGGCCATGTTTGAGTGACCATTATGACCGGACTTGTTACAGCTTGTGGCGATGAGGAAGGCCTGCATATCTAGGCCAGTATGTTTTTAATCGGTCCCTTTTTTATTAAAAAAATAAAATACATAGACAATATATCATCTATGAGTTGAAACACAATATTATTCCCACAACTTTTAACAAGACACATACAACGATGTTATAAAATAATTAAAAAATTTACTTATTTACATGAATAGTTAAACCTACCTTTATCATTTAGTTGCTTGGTTAATGGCATGAGCTAGCATATATGTGCTTTGATCAAATTATGATATTAAAAATGTTTCCAAAAACACACATGTGTCGGTAATTATTTGAAGATAACATCTGTCCCGCAGTTTTGTCCCTAGAGATTGCTTGGTTCCTCATGCCAGTGGCACTGTATCTGCCTTTGCTTTTTCATCAGCTGGCTGCCACAAAAAAAAAAAAAAATTTCCGCTCTTAATTCCACAAGCAACAGTGTTCCTTCTTATCCTTAGCACCACAACTGTTTTGGATAGCCCAAGCATCTTTTATCGAGTTTGCTATCGATTCTCCCTAATAATAGCATCCTCCTCCCTTTTTGCTAGCGCATTCAGGCCTGTGTAGTTTTTCTGGTTATTTATATAACTCAACCTCCAAATTAGCTGTATAAAAAAATCCCAATTCAGCTAGTATATCCTTAGGTTTTATTTTTGAAAAAGTAAAAAAAATAAATTAAAAATACTTCTTGCACCATGATCAATTGAAATCGATCTAAACTAAAACTTTATATCAATGGAGAATAATATATAAGAATTTTAATATGATTTAAAGACATTAAAAAAAATTATAAAGAAAATAGAAATACAATATAAGATAGGGAGAAAAACAAGTTTCTATTATCAGAAAAACAGCACTCGGGGAATATTTGCTTCTAAGCTTTCTGAGTTCCTGCTAAATTATCTATTTATAGATTACATTTTTTTTTATGAGGGATTTTGATAGTTACGAATCAGGAATGGAGGGAAGAAGTAAAGCAGATATGTGAAGAATATGGATTGAAAAAACAGCACACGGGGAATATGAAGAACAATAGAGCCCTTATGCTTTGACTAATTAAATGGCTGGAAGCTGCGGTTAATTGGAGTTAGCTAGAATCATCTGATAGCAGTTAGTTGAGTGGTTGGAAAGGTCAATATTTGATTAATTCTTGTATATAAGCCTTGTACCTAACCTTGGAGATCAAGCAAGAAATAATAGAATGCAAAAGCAATCCATTCACCTCTCTTTCTCTTTTTTATACCTTTAATTCTCTCAAATTCATCAGACAAGTACTTAACAATTGGCTAGTAGGAGAGCTAGCCTGATTTTAGATAAAAAATTAAGCAACCATGGTGGAAAAAATTACATGCCATGTTAAAGAGCAAGAAAGAGATAATGAGCAATTCAACTCGAAGTTGGGTGCCATTATTGTTTCATTAAAGATTTCAACAAAAGGCCAAGAGATCGATCAAAAGAGCAGAACTGTAGCAGATTCTGATGGTATTCTACCTCATCCCAGAATAAATAAAAGAAATAAAGGATATTCAAAGGGGAGGATACAACATGGCCTTACCCAAAGTAGGATATAATATAGAATTATTAGCCTTTAAAGGAGAAAACCCTAGGTGTAATTGTTTGAGAAAGTGTAAAAAGTTCTTCATGATAATTAAAATTCACTCCTGGACAACAAAGGGTGGAGATAACTTCATTATACCTGGAGGGAAAAACATAGGCTTGGTATGAGGAATTCTTGTCTGGAGGAGAAGATTTTTCCAGCTAGGAAGAACTTGCTAAAGGATTTTGTATGAGATTTGGCAACAGATATGATGTAGTGGAGGAATTTAATAAATTAGCGCAAAATAAAAATATGAAAGAGCTTGTAAAGAAATTTAAAGAACTCAAGTCTCTCATGAATGCATTGAATCCATCATTACTAGAAGCTTACTACATTTTACTCTTTTTTAGTGGATTAAAAGATGACATAAGATCCTTAAACCTGCTACATTAACACAAGCCTTTGAACATGCTAAGTGTAAGTAGGAATCAAATTGTACATTGGCTAAGAAAGTTAAGATTCTTCCAAAAACTAGCCTTCTTTTTTTTGTGCAATAAAAGCTACTGGTAATAGCTAGTAGGAATTAAATTGTGCATTGGTTAAGAAAGCTAAGATTCTTCCAAAAACTAGCCTGTGTTTTTGTGCAAGAAAAGCTACAGGTAATCTATCAACCTAATTTTTTTAATCATTTTAGGGTAGAACCAACATTGAGGCAAAAACATTATGTAGACACTTTAGACAAGAACAAAAAAGAAAACCAAATATGGAAATAAATTTGTATTGGGCATTAATGTTTTATAGTATTTCGTCTATGTATCATTCTAAGACGATTATATAACCCATTACTTGTTAAAGTTTAAATCCTTTCCAATAAAAGTTTAATGATTATATTTTTATAATTGCTTGGTAATGCTTTCCATTCCTCATTGATGCATAATACTTTAAACTCATCGGTCATTATGTGGCATAATTAATAAAGTTGAAGGAAAGACATTTCAAGATTGAAAAGTTCAAAGAATTTAATTTATTACTCAAAATAATGAAGTTTTAATTTTTTAAACATTAAGATGAACTTTTTATCATTATTAATCTCTCATAATTGTATTGTGAGAATATTTATATATTAGTAAGATATGATGTTTTATATATTAAACTCATTAATAGTTGTACTTAGCGAAGAAAGATGGCCTCTAGCTTATTTCAACAAAGTTTTGAGCTCAAGGAATCTTGGTTTATTCATTTATAAAAGTAGTAAATCAACATCTTAATGGCAATTAAGAGATGAAGGCACTACCTTGAACATGACTGTTTTAATATTAAGATTGATCATAAAAATTTGAAGCTCTTGTTGGAATAGAAGAAACATACTTCAATCTATAAAAAAGGCTTGACAAAACTATTAAGGTTAAGGCATATAATTCAATATAAAAAAGGTAAAGAAAACATTATGTTTATTGTCCTTTCTGTTTTAGTTTTTTTATTTTAATCTTATTTTTTTAATAAAAAATTAAAATCAATTAGTTTTTAGTTAAGATTAAATTACAGAGAAAAAAAAATAAGAATCAAATTAAAAATAATTTGCACAATTCAACAATAATAATATATGAGAGGATGGATAATATAACCTTTTACAGTGAAAAAATAATGTGTTTTAGTGTTATATTTAATACTTGATTCTATATGAACACACATGCTTTTAACACGTTGACAAGGAAAGAAAGGTGAGCTAGTTTATATAATGTGTTAAAATCGAACGTGAAAACTTCAAAAACACCTTTAAACCAAAAGTTAAGATTCTTCCAAAAACTAGCCTCTTTTTTTTTTTCGTGCAATAAAACCTACAGGTAATAGCTAGTAGGAATTAAATTGTGCATTGGTTAAGAAAGTTAAGATTCTTCCAAAAACTAGCCTGTGTTTTTGTGCAAGAAAAGCTACAGGTAATCTATCAACCTAATTTTTTTAATCATTTTAGGGTAGAACCAACAATGGGGCAAAAACATTATGTTGAAACTTTAGACAAGAACAATAAAGAAAACCAAATATGGAAATAAGTTTGTATTGGGCATTAATGTTTTATGAGTATTTTGTCTATGTATCATTCTAAGACGATTATATAACCCATTACTTGTTAAAGTTTAAATCCTTTCCAATAAAAGTTTAATGATTATATTTTTATAATTGCTTGGTAATGCTTTCCATTCCTCATTGATGCATAATACTTTAAACTCATCCACGATCATTATGTGGCATAATTAATAAAGTTGAAGGAAAGACATTTCAAGATTGAAAAGTTCAAAGAATTTAATTTATTACTCAAAATAATGAAGTTTTAATTTTTTAAACATTAAGATGAACTTTTTATCATTATTAATATCTCATAATTGTATTGTGAGAATATTTATATATTAGTAAGATATGATGTTTTAGATATTAAACTCACTAATAGTTGTACTTAGCCAAGAAAGATGGCCTCTAGCTTATTTCAACAAAGTTTTGAGCTCAAGGAATCTTGATTTATCCATTTATAAAAGAAGTAAATGAACATCTTGATGGTAATTAAGAGATAAGGCACTACCTTGAACATGACTGCTTTAATATTAAGATTGATGATAAAAATTTGAAGCTCTTGTTGGAATAGAAGAAACATACTTCAATCTATAAAAAAGGCTTGACAAAACTATTAAGGTTAAGGCATATAATTCAATATAAAAAAGGTAAAGAAAACATTATGTTTATCGTCCTTTCTATTTCAACTTTTTTTTGTTTTAATCTTATCTTTTTATAAAAAAATTAAAATCAATTTGTTTTTAGTTAAGATTGAATTGCAGAGAAAAAAAATTAAGAATCAAATTAAAAAGAATTTGTACAATTCAACAATAATAATATACGAGAGGAAGAATAATATAACTTGGTAGAGTGAAAAAAAATCATGATTTTTAGTGATATATTTACTACTTAATTCTATATGAACACATGTGCTTTTAACACGTTGACAAGCAAAGAAAGGTAAGCGAGTTTATATAATGTGTTAAAATGGAACGTGAAAATTTCAAAAACACCTTTAAATTATTGGGTTGTATCAAAGTAGTCCCTAATTGTAAGAATATTTCTAGTTATATACCCAACAAGTTTACTGTAATTAAAAACAAGTTACGATCAATTATTTTTATTCTTTGATATTTTAAATTACTATTTATTTTGTTTTTTTTTAATTATGTGACAAGGAAAATGATTTATAAGATCTATGAAAGGGACACAAATGAAATTAGTGAAACCAAAACTATCGAGTTGAACTATATTGAAACTACAAGGACCGTAACATAACTTTTGCTAACCTCCTCCCCTCCATTGACCGCCAGGACAGCTCTCTTGCTAACCAATCATCTCAAATGATCATCAAACAATCATTTTAATTAACCTGCCTCCACACGATAATAGGACTTTAAAAAGCATTTTGAAATTCAAATTTAAATACAAGAAATTTAAATTTTAGTTTTAAGATCTAAAGTCTTGACGTTTTAAAATAATCAAAATCCAACGATGCTTGAACTGCGGAAATTTACCGAGTTCTCTCTACTCTTTTCTCTCTCTCTTATATATTTCTTTTATTTTTTCTAATTCCTTACCGTTTACATCTATTTTCTTCACGTTCACAATTTAATATATAGTTTTAACCAACATGTACCCTTAGGATGACATATAGGAATCACAATTAATACTCCGGTCAGATTTTTTAATATTTATACCTTATAGAATACTTATTTTTTAAAGATTTAGATAGTTATGCACTACTTATTAAGTTTCAGGTATTTATATAAATATTTATTATCTGATTATTATTTAATAAAAATAAAAATATTAAATAATAAAATGTTAAAATAATATGTATGTGCTATATATATATATATATATTTTCAGGGTTAGATTCAAGTAAATTTTGAGTAAAAATATTTATACTCTAGAATAAAATAACTAACTAGAAAATTACCTATCTATTCAGGTTGGATTGGATAAATATTCATCAAATTCAAATTAAATTCTTATTCCATGCGCCATATGAGATGTTGTCAAATGTGCTGGTTGACAACGTGTTGTCAACCAATCACTACTGTAAACTTTAACACCGGAGAAATTCTCTTGGTAGTGGTTCCGGATAGACCTGGCGCTGTCAATTATTTAATATTTGATTTATGATTTCTAATTGAAAAAATAGAAAAGAAAAAACCCTCACATATTTTTCTTTAATTTGCTTCCCCCCCCTCAATTTTAATGCATATGGACGAGAGTATCTCCCTCTCTCTCCTCCAAAAAACCTCTCATCCATCACAACAATTAAAGGGTGAAAATTTCCACAAAAGCCATGACAACAACTCCATTCTCTCATAATAAGAAATATTGAAAAAGTAGCATCACTCTTCGAACGCACGAAAGTTATTTGCAGAATTTATCCAAAGAAGAAGATACCGCTCCATTTCAATTTCATCCTAGTTGGTACTACCAGGAAAACTTTGTCAAAATGAGTCACCAGTGTGTTCCCAGCTGGGAACTTGATGACAATCCCACCACAGCTCCGAAGGTCTCACTTCGCTCCCACTCCAATTCAGGCGCACCATACATGCCCATGTAGTCTCTCAAAATCCATGCGCGCTAATATATTAGATTGTTTTCATTTGTTGATGGATGCATAGTGATAGAGGATGCTTTTTGGTGCAGGTTAAACTACGAAGTAGCAGAGCTAACATGGGAGAACGGCCAGCTAGCCATGCACGGCCTAGGGCAACCGCGCGTGCCAGCCAAACCAATAGCCTCCACTTCACCCTCCAAGTACACATGGGACAAGCCACGCGCCAGCGGCACCCTTGAATCCATAGTCAATCTAGCCACATGTATACCTCAGTGCAATAAGCAAACTTTTGACAATAGTGGTTCAGACCATGACCTTGTGCCATGGTTTAACCACCATAGAGCTTCAGCCTCCGCCACAATGACTATGGACGCTTTGGTCCCTTGCTCCAAGCGGTCTGATCAGGAACGGACCACACGAGTGATAGACTCCAGCCCCGCCGGATTAGGCACTGATTGCGTGGTGGGATGCTCCACTCGCGTGGGGTCTTGCAGTGCCCCAACTGCAACGCAAAACGAGGTCGTGGGTCTCCTCACCAGGAAACGTGAGAAGGTGGCGCGTGTCCCAGTCCCGGCTGAGTGGAGCAGAGACCAAAGCGTCAATCGTGGTGCCACGTTTAGCAAGAAGGACAGCCAGCAAGTGACGGTGGACAGTTGCGAGAGAGAGTTAGGTGTTGGGTTTACTTCCACTTCTTTCGGGTCGCAAGAAAACACCAGTTCTGGAACCAAGCCATGTACTAAAACCATCACAGCAGATGAGAATGACTCTGTTTGTCACAGGAGACCACAGGCAAGTTAATTTTGTTTTGGATATATAGTTAGTTTATTTTTTATTTTTTAATTTATTGAGTGTTTCTTGGGGTTTGTTTTGGTTTTTTAAAGAGGGAGGCAGGTGACGAAGATGACAAGAAGAAAGGAAATGGGAAATCCTCAGTTTCTAATAGACGAAGCAGGGCTGCTGCTGTTCATAACCAATCTGAACGTGTATGTCCTCTCTCCTGGAAAAATGTTTTTACAGCTCGAAGTAAAATCAAAAGGATAATTAATAAAAGATTATGATCTGTTCTCTTTAATTTCATAATAATAATGATTGGTTTCATAATTAGCGATATTACATGGTATTATAAGATTTGATTGAGCAAATATAGACTGGATTAACATGGGGGATCTCCTGTTCTAGATTCACTTGCGACAAATTCTTTTTAACTAATTGTTTAATTACATCTAAGATTTTTAACTCTCTACATATGTATATATATAATTTCACGTATCTTCCTATCATGATTGCTGGTACAGAATCCTTTTTTTTTTTTTTTAATGTTGCCTTCGATTTTATTGGCAGAAAAGGAGAGATAAGATAAACCAGAGGATGAAGACACTGCAGAAACTGGTCCCCAATTCCAGCAAGGTAAGAAAAGTTTCTTCGGTAGCTTTTCAGTATATCAATCTGTTTGCATTACAAAGAAGCTCTTAAATTTGACTGATGAGTTCCATAATATTTTTGGTAATATTAGATATTCTTTGGCTGTGCTTTCTTTATTTGGAATTGTGAACTCCTCCTTGAAAATTGGAGCGTGGTCTTCATCTTTATATTGCAAAAATAAATCAGTCATTAACAGACAGTATTTCTCATCATTTAACTAAGCAAATTAATGATCTGCGCCTTATTTTTGGTGAGTTTATTCTTCCAAATTGTTTTTTTTTTTTCAATCCTGATCAGGCTAGGTATTTCCATGTGAAGAATGTTTATCCCATGAGAATATATCAACAAGAAAAGAAGGCTAATCTAAAGGTAGTCGGTGAAAATGACCGACCCAACTAGTTCCAAGTGTGATGAGCAGAAGGGAAAGAAGAAAGAACCGGCATAAAAATAACTACTATCACAAAAGCCGTTCCCACATCGCTAGCTGTTATTTATTCTAAAGCATGAGCTTACCTGCCTTGTCCTTAAGCATAGTCACACCTACCTTTCTAATCCTGGTTTTAGTGTGGAACTATCATCATCATTTATAAGAATCCTAGTCACATTGCTAAAGCGTCGGCATCTGCATCGCAGTTCCAAACTTTCGGGCTCTCTTTTATTCCCACTAGGGGACGCCATGGTCACAGAAAGTGTGCCCAACTTGCTACTCAATAAAGCGAGCTTGGTTCTGAGGATTTTTGTAGACTGGAAACCTTGGGATCAACCGTATAAAAAATCTACTGGTAGTAAATTCTAAGATTAGGGTCTCGCCTTTGTCAATATATACATCTGGGGAGTAATGTATTTTTTTTTCTTCAAAGAAAAAGTACTAATCAATATATACACATGGTCTTTCTACCCTTAGATTCATGTCGTATGAGGCAGCTGCAGAGATAGCTTCAATTATAAATACTCAAAATCGGACAAAACAGACCACCATGGTATAAATGCAGTCCAACACATCCTTTTGCTTTCAAATGGCTTGGAATATCTTGGGACTGATCAAGTGATCCTAGTCCACAAACCCAAATTGTGGGGACAACATGACAGAAGGTTGTTTGGTATGAAGACAACTGCCAGCTACCGCATAAATCCTTCTACTTATGTAGGCCCTAATGCCCTGGTGTTTATGCATTATTTCAATTTACATTCGTTGTCATTGCCTCATTTATCTTGGCAATTAAAATTCTGACACATGATGATTTATTTACCTGAGCGCTTAAATGAATGCAAACATTATTAATTTGTATTATTAACTATATATAATTTATTTCCATATGTTTTCTTGGTTTGTATTAGACGGACAAAGCCTCAATGCTTGATGAAGTGATTGAATATTTGAAACAACTGCAAGCACAAGTACAAATGGTGATCAGAATGAATATGCAGCCAATGATGTTACCAATGGCTTTGCAACAGCAACTTCAGATGTCAATGATGGCTCCACTCAGCATGGGGATGGCTGGTATGGGAATGGGAATGGGTGTTGTGGACATGAACACGCTTGCAGCTCGTTCCAACATTACAGGGGTTTCTCCAGTTCTTCACCCCACTGCTTTCATGCCCATGACCACATGGGATGGGTCTAATTGTCATGAACGGTTACCAACTGCAGCTCCTTCAGCAACGGTAATGCCAGACCCACTGTCTGCATTCCTTGCGTGCCAATCACAGGTAATTAAGTTTAATCTGCTTAAAATCCTCAAGATATGGTAATTTTTCAATCTCATGTTGAAGGGTTCTAGAAAATAATATGGCATTATTTTATCTGTGTGGAATGAGGACGTAGCAAATAAAATCTTCTGATATATTGCCTGCATAATATCATAATTGCGATATTAATGTATTAACCACACATTTTTGTTGCAGCCAATGACCATGGATGCTTACAGCAGGATGGCTTCAATGTACCAGCAGCTACATCAACAATCTCCTGCTTCTAATTCCAAGAGCTAAGTTTTATGCTATGCATACTGGTGTCTTTTTTAGACAAAATCTTGGCTGGCCACAGACAAAAGGCAAAAAGCTCCGCTTATGAGTGTGATTATATGTTTGCTTGCAATGGTTATATATATAAGTCTGAAACATGCACTATTTTGTTTGATTTATTCAAGCTGCACGGTTCAGTAAGGAAGCAAGGCTGATGCTCTTCACGCAGTCTAGGATCACTTTAGTTAATTATTTCACTTTTTTCTATAGTTTTTATTTATCAATTTCCAACTTAAATTTTGTAATACGTTTATATTTATGATCTCCCTTACAAGGACAAGGTGTAATGATTTACAACTTCGGGCATATTATTTTGGGGATTTGTTTTACTTTGATCAGTCTTATGCGGGGATTTATACATGTTATTAACCATCGTGCGTGGATCATACTTTACCAAATTCCCTTGGTCCAGACTACCCCTGGCCGTAAAACAAATCAGAGTTTTTCTCATCACCAAAAAAGAAAAATTATAATGATTTGTGGAATACAATTTAAGCTATATTTTGATATGGAGGAGGAAAAATAATTTATTATATACATTGAAATGGTTGAGTGGGGTTTATATGATTGAGAAGTGTCTTTATAGAGTAGGACGTTTAGCGTTATGGTTGCTTGACACATGATCTTGATAGGTTTGATGTTACAGAAGAAGAAGAAGAAGAAGATGGGAAAATCGATGTAGACATTACTATTTATCATGACAATTGCTATTTTGTCCTTTCTAAAAAAATTCAAAAAAATTCAATGGCATTATTGTTATGAATATTTTGATATTTGTACAAGTTTTATCGCTTATTATCAAATTGACCGAAGGTATAGTTTTTTTAACTTTTTAAAAACACTGTGGAGCAGGGGCGGAATTAGGGGTGGCAAGCAGGCCCGAGCCTTGCAAAAAAATTTAAATTTTTTTTATTTAATATTTTTAATTTAAATAAATAAACTTTTTAATAATATATATATTATTATATTAATTTTGGCCTCACAATAAAATAAACCTAGCTCCGCCCCTCCAGTTAAGTGATCCTTTTTTTTAAGAACAAAAATTTGAGAAGTGTCATCTAGAAGCTTTTTAATCATTGTAATTTATATATATATACAGTAAAATAAAATAATTTAATTATTTTTAAAGTCAAAATTTGTAAAGCTTGTGCTAAAGGGTTATTTTTGTCTTTTTATTATGATTTTTTTTGTTATTATGAACTTGATAAATGGAAAATTAGTCTTTTAATTAACATAAAATAATATTTTAATGGCAAAGTAATTACATGTGAGAAACACTAGTATTTTTTTAGCAGTGCGTGGGACACTTTTAAATGACCAAAAACTCTTTCCTACAATGTTATTGAAATCTTTGTGACATTCTTTTTCTGTTTTTAATTTTATTTTTCAACCTCAATTTATGATTTATTTATTTTTTTTAGATTTGATTTTTATTTTTTTATTTATAATTTTTTTTCTTTTTTTTTTTTAGAATTTCTATTTGTTTTTGATTTTATAATTCAATCCCAATTATTGATTTATTATTTTTCCAATTTAATCCTCATCTTTTTTTTTGTTTTTTATTTTGTTTTTGTTAATTTTTTTTAATTTCAATTTTTAATAACAAAATTATAATCTTCCTCTCTTAATTTCTATTTTTGGTTTTATATCTTTTTTTATACATATATATTTTAAATTTTATCCTTTAACATTTGATTGGTTAAATTTTTTCAGATATGATATTTTCAATTTAATCATCCAGGTCACGTATTTGAAAAGTTGACATCGTTGACATATTTTTTTTAAAAAAAACTTATTTTTATTTTTAATTTTATATTTTAATATTTTTTATATATAAAAGAATGAGCTGTATAGTTTCTTTTATTTTCTTTTCTACTAGGTTATCCTAATCTGATGATATAAGGCTGTCAGGTTGGTGAATTACCCCGAGTTGGCTCACTTTTTATTACTCAAGTTACAACTTTATAACAACTTTATTATATTAACTTGGATTAACTCTAAATAATTTTTTTTATTTGTTATATTTAATTATTTATAACTCAAGGTTGTAAAATTTATTTCCTCTTTACAATGCTCTTGTGGTACTCAAATATTTTTTTTTGAAAGAGATAATTCAACCTCACGATGTCGTGTGAACCCATTATACTGTTCACATGACTTTTATGAAAAGTTTTATTATATGCTCTTTTAATCAGTTTTACAACAAGTGGTTTATAAAACATATGAATTTTTTAGCTACAAATTTACATAATTATTTGAAGATTTTGTTAAGAGTTTCTATTCTAAAAATATTTCTTAAGTAATTGAGCAATGAAAAGTAATAAAAAAATACTAGTGTTAATTTTTTTTATTAATTTAAAATATATTTTTAAATATATAATAAGAAACTTATTAATTTCAAATCTAAACATGATTTTTCTTAATAATTTTAAAATTAATTCTAAGAAGACATTATTAAAATTTCATAAAATACTTGATTTCCCACTTAATTTTAAAATACATTGAAGGATTGAATTAACAACTTTATTTTTATAAAATATAAATATTTTTTAAGTAAAAGATTGTATGTAGATGACACGAAAAGGTCCGCTCTTTTTTGTAAATATATATTATCAGGACACAAACTTCTTAGTTATTATAATGATATCTCCTTGATTTCTTTGTTTCTTTTTGAAAAAACGATACCTTAGATATTGTTGGACTCTATACTATATATCTTACAAATTAATGATAATCTTTTTTATGACAACAAAGAAATTTAATCTTCAAACGATTTCATATTAAAACACTAAAGTAGGTTTAATAATTGATAATATTTCGTATGCAATTGATAGTTTTTGCTTATTCTATTACATGAATACTTATTAACTTGTGAGAAATCTCTTTTCTCTATTAAATTATTTTTTAATATTAAAACATATGGGCAAAATAGGTAGCTGTATATTCTAGCTACCCTCTTCAAAAACAGAAATGACAGCATTCAGCTTCAAGAATCCAAGCTCCAACCTTTACCATTTGACTTCTTTCTTGAGGTATTGATGTGGGTTCAGGGGTCATATCATCTCTATTCATTGGCGAAGGATTGTTCATTATGATTATTGGGGGATATTTAACGGTGCAAGGGAGGGGAAAATATTGCTACAGAGAGACATATAACATGAATTGTCTGCTAAAAGACGAACACTTAAATGATTGGATGCTCGTTTGTCAACTTCATATTAAGATCTCACCACTCGTTTGTCTAGAACAAAAGCAATCATGTATATTGATATTTATGAATCCTTCTTGGTCTTCCAGATCACCCATGCATGGAATCAAGGCAATTTCCAGGTCACCGTGTTGTTTGATCTTGATTAAAATTACCTCTATATTTCTCTTCTATGCATTTGTAATATTTACTGTAAGATCTTAAACTGTATTCATCCCTAGATTGATAGTTTGTTGTTTTCTCTAACTTGATAAACTCGTCATCTAGGTCTAAAGTGACAAAGAAAGGTCAAATCTTGCTAGTTTTTAAACTTACGAACACGCTAAGCTGACGAATTGTATCATTCTGTCAGCTTAGAAGCTTATTCTTGCAGTGTTACACCTAGATGATGCGTCCGGTGCGAGTCGGGGCCTTTTTTTTTTTTTTAAATGCAGGTCCTTAATGTAATGATAATGTGCTCTTCAACAAGAATTTTTTTTTAACTCTGAACTCAAAATTCTATGCATACGTATAAATTGGGAATTATATATACTGATAAATTGTTAATACTAATTAAAAATAAAAATACTGTTTGTTTTTGTGGTGTAAAAGTATTTTAAAAAATTTGATTTTTTTTACTTTAAACTTTTTTTTTGTATTTTTAAATAGTTTTGAAGTGCTAATGCTAAAAATAAATTTAAAAAATAAAAAATAATATTGTTTTGATATATTTTTAAGTAAAAAAACTTTAAAAATTAACCATTATCAAGATATTAAACGGGTTTTAAGTAGGGAAATAGAGAAACATGTAATATAGTGCTATGGTGATATTTCAATTTCTTTTATTTAATAACATCAGAAATACTGTTTTTATAAGAAAAATAATACTTTAAATTTTGTTAATTTGCAATTCAATTCTTCCTTTTCTTATTAATATTTTAAATCCCAACAAAAAAATTTAACCTTTTGCTATAAAACTAAAAGCATTTAGAAAACATACCAAAAGCTTTTCAATGATTTAAAATAAGTATAAAAAATATACATCTCTAATTAAAACACCTTCATGTCATGACATGCTTAAATTTGACACAAGTGCATTGAAAAATATAAAAATAATTCAGAACTTGCATGTTACCGTGGAGAACTAACACAATCAACAAGCAATATAAAAAAGACAATAAATCATAAGGACACAAAATTATACTAAAAACAAATCATATAAAAACTTTTTTTAAAAAATTATTATTAAATATTTTTTATTCAAGTAATTTGTCTCTTTATAAGGTTTATATCTCCTTAAATAAACTTAAAAACTTACTTAAACCAATATGGAAACCTAAAAAAAATAAAAGTCCTAAAAAAACTAGGAAAAAACATCTTGAATAAATCTAGAAAAATAATAAAAGAGTTTTAAATAAAATAAAAAAAATTATCTAGAAAAATAATAAAAGAGTTTTAAATCAAATAAAATCATAAATTAACTAGGAAACTAATGTAATTCTCACATGGTATCTTATGGAATTTATTGCAAGGTCTTTCTAATGTTTAATCGCCTGAAATTTTAACCCAATATAAAATAAAACCTCTAAAAATATCTAGTAAAATTTCAATATAATCCAATGAATAAATTATAAATATTAATTTAAAATTAACTAAATATTGAAAGATAACATTGATAAAAATAAAATAAAAAGCTAAAAAAATTCAATTGAATAAAAAAAAAGGGAAGATGGAATACTTATTACAAAAGAACTATCTGACATTGTTATTAAACCTGACCCAATGAATCAATTTTGAAATATTTTGACCCAACTCCTTATCTAGTCTAGATATCTGACATTGTTATTAAACCTGACCCAGTGGATCAATCTTGAAATCTTTTGACCCAACTCCTTATCTAGTCTAGGTTTAAAATTAAATCATATGAAAGTTAACTCTAAGTTAAAATTAAATTATATAAAAGTTAACTCTACGTAATCTAGGTGACTTGGGGTATCCAAAAATAACTAAAAAAACTGATAAAAATATAGTTTGATTTTAAAAAAAAATTAAGATGATATTTTTTTTTACTATTATGATGGTAATATATTTGATCAATTCAAGTTTCGCGACTTAATTCACAAAACTCACAAGTCAAATTATGTAA